GACTCCCAAGGACTACGCACACTGAAGTCTTCGCCTCCCAAGCATTTCATTGATCTACCTCTCTTTGAGTTCCCCGCGCTCAACTGCCTTCAATCCGATGTAGAACCAAACATCGCACTTATTGGTTGATTGGTAACACGTCCAATTAACATTCTTTGCCTCTGCACGCACGCCTTTGAGAAACACTCCTTCGCAATGCACTCCTTGCATTTCTGCCTACCCCCAACCTGCCAATTAACAAACACTTTGCTACTACCACTTTGCAAAAACAACTTTGCTAAATGCATCTGACTCTAATCATGGCCGCACGCGGTGGATGCATCTGATGGCAATCACGTCCAGAGCTCCGTCCAAAATCGTTCCTATGTGATTATGCCCTGAACACTTAGAGCACCACTTTCAGACAACAGTCAATTGCCATTCACTTATGACAGTGGTAAATCATACACAATCCGGAGGCAGAGAACATAATATCAGAATCTCCATGGAGTCATGGACTAACTCAAATTCGAAACAGTACGCGGTCGGTGCGGGCCAGCGTGAGCGAAATAAGTAGGAGGCCGGGCAAATCAGCCTTCCTCTTTCAAGTGCCTCTCGCCATCCTCCTCTCTTCAACGCCGTTCTGTCAATTCACAGTTTGCCCCACCAGTTCAACTCCTGTGATCTTTGTTACAACCCCTCAATCTACCGAATCGATGCTAATTGAGAAAGGAAACCATTATAGAACCTCCCCGCGGCGAGACCTCTCTCTCTCTCTCTCTCTCTCTCTCTCTCTCTCTCTCTCTCTCTGTGTGTGTGTGTGTGTGTGTGTGTGTGCGCGCCGTGCACCCCTTCGATCGCTGGTCTGCCGCTCGCCCCGTCTCCCGAGTTGCCTTGATTCCAGAGACCTCTCTCTCTCTCTCTCTCTCTCTCTCTCTCTCTCTCTCTCTCTCTCTCTCTCTGTCTGTCTGTATTTCCAGAGACCTCTCTCTCTCTCTCTCTCTCTCTCTCTCTCTCTCTCTCTCTCTCTCTCTCTCTGT